AATAATGTACAGTATTTGAAAAATTATGTGTTTTTTGAACATTAAAGCATGTCAACATATTCTGTTACACCAAATACACAAAATAATGATCTTTAAAAAAGCATCATATGACCCCTTTAATAGTTTTAGTTAACAATGACAACATTTTTATCATATGTACTACCATTATGGCAATTTATTTTCTCTTCCTCTGTATGCGGGGTCAGTCATCTACTTTTGTGTTTAATGAAAGAAAACACGTCATATGAGTTTGGAGCGGTAATTTAATGATGGCAGTATTCTATTTTTTTGGTTCAGTCATATAGTCTCATTAGGACAGATTTCACCACTGCTGTCAAAACCCACTCATGTATGCCACCACTCACTATATGGCCATAATTCCAACTGGTTCCTAGCATGCACAAGCACATATTCATATACCGGTTATTGCCGAGCATTACTGACTCTTAGCAGGGACGCTAAGGGTAATGCAATGGGCGCTTTTTTATCTCCGGCGCTCAAACGTCATGACTGAACGGTTTTCGTTTGGAATATCGTGCTGAACTTCTGGGGTGATTTAATGTGCTGTAACATTTATTATGGCTTTATGTATGCGGCACTCCCATGGCGAGCCCAGCTGCCAGTGTTTATGAGACTGACCTCTCACTCAACGGCGGCAGCAGCCTCCATCAGCCCGTGCCGCAGCGGCGGTTGTGGAGGAATTAAAGAGTGTTGTGGCTGAGAGATTGGATCAGGAAGTGACACAGCCGCTAGGACATTTAATCACACCCCTGCAGGGACTTATCTCAGGAGAGAGTGGGCGACTGGTGGCTCCTCTGCTGTGAGCGCTAGACATGAATGCAGAGTCTGCCGTCGCTGGAGGGTCTGGGTCACACTGTGTGTTTTTCAGAATGTGCTTTCACAGCATTCTGCCTTTTTGCTACAGCTTTATTTTTCAAATTTATGTCTCTATCCCAGCAAAGTGTGTGGATGTTTATTTGGTCCAAGCGCTTCTGGAGAACTGTGTAAGGAAGACTGGAGCTAGTTGTCACACTTTTTACTCCAGGAAATATTTCTCAGCACAGGTTTATTATACAAAGTCTTCGAAGTTTCTGTGTAGGCACATACTGTATCTGAAGATCTACAAAAAGCTGTCACCATTATGCAACCGTTATTGCCTACAGCTCATTAAACATGTTGACATTGTTTTTGGGCCATTTTGTCACAATGGAATCTACATATTATAGATTTTAGTAAATGTTATTTACAAAAAAAAAAGTTTATATTTAATGCATTTTAGGATCATTCAATGAATTCAGAAAGTGTTTTTTTTTTATTACTTTCTTTTCATTTTATATTTGAAACTGCATTACTGTTTAGGATTGGAATCAGTAAGATTGATTGATTGATTGATTGACAAAAATATTACTTTTATTCAGTAGGAATGTATTAAATTGATCAAAAGTGACATTAAAGACATTTATATTGTAACAAAGACAATTATATTTCAAATAAATTTTGTTATTTTGACATTTCTATTCATCAAAGAATAGATAGATTGTACATTGTAATGATATTTCACAATATTGCTATTTTGGCTTTATTTTTGATAAACTAAATGGAGCCTTGGTTAGCAGAAGAGACATGCTGTAATGTATGTGTTAATTGTTCATTCATTCAGAATCTTCTCTGTTTCTTTTCTGTCTTTTTCTCCCCCTGTTACTCATTTTCGCAGGCTGCAGAGCAGTTAAGGAAGCTCGGAGAGGAACATTACAAGATGAAAAAAACTGAAGGTGATGGAGGGATGGAGAACTAAAAGAGTGTGACCTGTTGGCCACCTTCTGTGTCCAACTGTCAGATAATGAGAACATAAAACTGTGAGAAACAGATGGAGCTGTAAGATGACTCATCTGCTTTAGTGCAAAGAGTTTAAAATTTGAACTAACTTCCTTTTGAAACACTTTTTGGTCTTTTCATTCAAGTTAGAATTTAAAATTAGCTCCCAAGTTTTTGTTCAGGGCCCTAAAGGCCAAATCATGTGAGCTGGTAATTGCTTAGTTGAGAGCCAAAATGATTTTTCAGAAAAGTTTGAAATGATAAGTTGTAATCTTGTGTGCTTTAAAAAAATGTTTAATAAAGTTCTTCCTTTTTGGCAAAATGAATTTGGCAAAGGAAACATTGAAAACAAGCTTCCATAAAATTAAAAAGTTTTTTTTTTTAATGTCCTTGGAAACTGCTGGAAAAGATTTCAACAAGTGAAAAAAAATTGTTGAATTGAAGACACTCTGGTGATGCTCTATCAACCATACAGAATTCATAAACAACCAAACATACTCTAGAAATTGCATAGTCACACCCAAACTCTCTAATAACTACCATGTAACTACTCAAAACACCAGAAACCATGTGTCAACATATTAGCAACTACTCAGAACATCTGGGATATCCCAGAAACACTCTCGAAACAACCCAGAACACCCTAGCAACCATAGTACCGGAATACCCTAGAAACTATTCACTATAGCCTAGATTTTCCCTAGCAAGCCACCGTAAACACTGCATCAGCTGCCTAGCAACATATTAGAAACCACTCTAACAATACCTTAACATCCTAGCCACCACCTAAAAACACCCTATAAACCACACCTATAACAACCGAGACACAGCCTAGCATCAACCTACAACTTACTTTAGCAACCGTCTAATAACTCCCAGATAACACTGCCTAGAAACACTCCCAGATAACACTGCCTGAAACTACCCTAACAACCACTGAACAGCCTATTAACAGCCTAAAATGTCTTAGGACTAGGGCTGTGAATCTTTGGGTAGACAGCGAATCGATTCGATTCACGATTCATATGTTTTCGATTCAATTCAAGAACGATTTTTGCGAATTCAGAACGAATCACAATTAAATTCGATTCAATTAACGATTCGATTCTGCATTCTTTAAGTGCATTCACAGGATTATTTAAATGCTTCGCCTAAATTATTTAAATGCTTAGTCAGGGGGCAAATTACACAGCAACCTTTATGGTTACAGAACCATAGGTTAGAGAAAAAAAAACACTTTTGTTCATTGTTAGATGCTAGTTTAATGATGCTATAGCATGACATGGCATATGTAGAAATTTATGTAAGCCAATATTTTAAAAAAGACCTTTAAATGTATTATGTATAGGCTAACATTTTGTCACACCAGGGGCGTAGCCATCATTTCAGAAGTGACAGAAATGTCAAATACAATAATTTTATGTATGTATGTACGTATTATTATTATTAATAATAATACGTACATAC